AATATCAAAACAACGGCCCGGGGTGCAAAACGCATCAATGACAGCGACCCTCTACCACACAAAACAACACCTGTGAATAACCCAATTTGTGTTCTTTGAAATTGAAAAGGATATTGCATTGTGTTGGAGTTATATGTCTTAAATGTAATTTGGCTTGGCTTCCTATTTTGTGGACATGCTTATATTTTGAAGGCGAGTTTACGCTGTTGACAGGAAGTTGTTGTTGCTATGGAAACAAGAAAAGCTTCACAGCGGGCGGAACTTGTCATAAAGTCCGCGATAATAAAACGCACCCATTTAGAGGGAAGATATGATTGGTCAATTGTACTGTCATTTGACATTACTCTCTCGTTCAGTTACTATAGCGGGCCCTCTGTGAATTCACAGCAGGACCAATCAGCTCCTGTCTTCACAGTAACTCGCAGAGACGAGCTTCTTTCATTTAACCCTTCACATTCAAACAGAAACTGAATAGGCAGATTCAAAGGATTTATTTCTTTGGAAATGTTATTTCAAATACAATTAAATCATGTTATTTTGGTAAAACTAATGAAAAATATAATTTAAAAAATATTTAAAAAAAAAATGTTTTTAATGTTTTTAAATATTATTTTGTAGAATATCTTAGGCCCTCAGAGAGGGCCTAGAGCAGGGGTGTCAAACTCAATTTCATCAAGGGCCACATCAGCATTATGGTCAAAGGGCCGGTTGTAACTTTAAGACTATATAAAAATACATGTATAAATATTTAATATATATAAAATAATGTATTGTATTACATTATTGCCTCTGCATTGGATTATTATCGGATAGGGTAATAACTTCATAATTAACTATGTCTGAAAGCAGAAGTCTAGGGCAAATAATTGCAAGTCTCTTCAGTAAGAATGTCACAATATGATTTAAAAAGAAAAGCCAAATTCTGGAAAAACATTTTGAAAAAAAAAAGTGAAACTTTGAAAAAAAAGTAACATTTTGAAGACAAAAATCTATTTATGAAGAAAAGGCAAATTCTAAGAAAAAAGGCATATGTTGAAAAAAAAAGTCAAATTCTGAGAAAAAATGCATTTGTTGAAGAAAGAAAGTCAAATTCTGAGAAAAAGTCAAATTTGAGATGCATTGTGGGACATGTATTTTATGGGCAACGTGCTTCTGTAAAGTAGCACTTTGAGCGGAGCCTTTATGATGGGACTCCACAGTTAACCCATCTCCCCATACTGTGCACAGCAGAGTTATAACAAGTATTCTGATGTCTCAGGCAGAGAAACCAGATCCTGCACTATCAGGTGTCCCTGGGCTCCAGAACTACCCCCCCCCCCCCCCCATCCACCTGCCATCCACTCAACCACCTGCCTTTTTAATCCTGTCCACCAACAGAAAGGGTTTGGATGTGGGGGGGTCCCCTCATGACACAGCAATTCACTTGTGAAGTTTTAAAAATACGGCGAAAAACATCCTCACCTATCATGCAGGGTTGGAATAACTAACAAGTTCAGAGGTTAAATCACAACTGTCTCTTGAGATGTTGAGTATCAAAGCTGCTCTCAGAGTTTAGGAGAGCAATTAGGCCGTTTATTTGATAAAACATCAGATATAATGCTCATACTCTCAAAAACATGTTGAATAAAATATCAAACAGAAAGTAATTTAGCCGGCAATCATTTCATTTCAAGTTTCATGGGAGGCAGAATGAAAAGGTTCGTCTGTAGATAATGTTTAAAGATATGGACATATAAATGAGACAAGAAAAGAGGAGAGAGAGAGGGAAAGGAGAGGCGGAAACAAGCTTGGCAAATAGAGAAGAAGCGGAAACAAAAGAAAAAAGCAGAAAGAATCCTCAAACATGAACAGGCACTCAGCACAAATGAGCTGATGTGTAAACGGAAAGTTATTTAACAGTCATATTAACACTTACATGGTTTCTGTATCCCTGGAGGTACATTTATTTGTGTCCATGTGTAAAAATAGTTTTAATTGAAAATACATTTAATTAAAAGTGTTACGTTGTAATCTTGGTATTACATGGGTTTAATACGGGCGCAATAGGGGTGTTATAACAGTGTAATATAGAAGTAATAATAGTGTAATTACGTGTAATATGGGTGTAATATTGGTGTTACATGAGTGTAACATGGGTCCAATTACAGTGTGACATGGGTATAATAATGGTATGTGGTGTAACGGGTGTAACAGTGGTGTAATAGGGGTGTAACAGTGGTGTAACGGGTGTAACAGTGGTGTAATAGGGGTGTAACAGGGGTGTAACAGTGGTGTAATAGGGGTGTAACAGGGGTGTAACAGTGGTGTAACGGGTGTAACAGTGGTGTAATAGGAGTGTAACAGTGGTGTAATAGGGGTGTAACAGGGGTGTAACAGTGGTGTAATAGGGGTGTAACAGTGGTGTAACGGGTGTAACAGTGGTGTAATAGGAGTGTAACAGTGGTGTAACAGTGGTGTAATAGGAGTGTAACAGTGGTGTAATAGGGGTGTAACAGTGGTGTAACGGGGTGTAACAGTGGTGTAATAGGGGTGTAACAGGGGTGTAACAGTGGTGTAATAGGGGTGTAACAGTGGTGTAATAGGGGTGTAACAGTGGTGTAATAGGGGTGTAACAGTGGTGTAACGGGTGTAACAGTGGTGTAATAGGGGTGTAACAGTGGTGTAATAGGGGTGTAACAGGGGTGTAACAGTGGTGTAATAGGGGTGTAACAGTGGTGTAACGGGTGTAACAGTGGTGTAATAGGGGTGTAACAGTGGTGTAATAGGGGTGTAACAGTGGTGTAATAGGGGTGTAACAGGGGTGTAACAGTGGTGTAATAGGGGTGTAACAGTGGTGTAACGGGTGTAACAGTGGTGTAATAGGGGTGTAACAGGGTTGTAACATAATAGGGGTCTATTAATGTGTAATAAGAGTGTACAAACGGTGTGATATAGGTGTAACATTTAGGAATCAGTTAATTTTCCAAAATATTGAATGCCCATGTAAGGGTTAAGATGTTTCATGCAAGGCAGAAATGTTTAAAGATGTGGACACATTGGAAGCTTCTGCTCCTGGGAAGGCTGCTGCAAAGCCAAGCAGTTTCTCAATAACTCACAGTGTACAAGGCAAACATGTTGTAAAAGGCTCAGGATAACTAACACAGATCATTGGGTAAATGTTAGAATAGTCAGGCTACAGGCCCAGATCTAAATCCATAGGGAGATGCATTAAACAATCTGTAGATACAAAGAAAACACAGAGTGAGACTGCTCTGCATCTCACTATATTTAGATCCTCTAAATGTATAACAAGTACTTCTGCAGCCCTGTCATGGTGTCAGCACGTCACCTCTCACATATCTGCCTGCATGCTAAAATGTCAAGATGTGTTCGCTTCAGGAAGCACGAGAGCTGCACCCGGGCTGCTGATTGCAGTTCAAAACATCTGGATTTTCCAGAACATAACCATAATGTTCTATGAACAAGTGATACATTACATTTTTGTTGTAAAGGTTGCAGGCATGGTGGAGAGAATCATCTGATGATGTCACACTCATGTAATCAGGGATATTTGAGTCCACATGTTTTACAGAAAGCTTTCTGTATAGACTGAGGTGCATTTTGGGATAGTTACTCAAAGTAAGGATACCTGAGCTGATTTGATTTGAATCATATATTTCTATATTTGTGTAAACCTATTGGTGATGTGAAAAATGAGCAAGCCGGATGGAATTGTTCTTTTAAAATATGATTGATATGAGAGAGAAATACGGTTTCAGTCACTGATTTACATCTAGTGCCACTTTACTGAATTTATGTTCAGAGGAGAGCAAATCAAAGAGACAATCAAACGGATTGCCATCGCGTCCCTTCAGTGAATGGATAAAGGTTGATGACAGTTTTAGCAGCTGCTTGACTCTTTTCAGCACATCAGCCAAGAGAGGGTAAATTAGACAAGAAGGAGGAGGAAGGTGGAAGGAAAGGGGAGGAGAGGAGGAAACAAGGAAAGAGAATAGAAGACAGGAGGAGGAAACCAGAAAACCTTCCTTACTCCCACAGCGGGGACATTTACAGCGTTACAGCAAAAGGAAAAATACAAATAAAAAAAGTTTGCTAATCTATTAAATACAGAGACATAAACAATTAAGACAGATTTTTTTTTTTTTAAATAAGCATTTTCAAAGCTAAGTGAACATAGGTGTTGAGATTGTGTATTGCGCATAAGAGTCATTATTGCACTATTTCTGTAATGGAAGGAGAAGGGAGCCTGCAACAAGAAACAGAAGAAGGGAAGTGAAGAAAGAGGAAAGGAAAAGAGGAGAGGCCACGCCGGGCCACACCTAAACATAACCAAAAGAGCTACAACTCCACAGATCACACACTCACTTTTCTACACAAGCTGAGATGCTGTAGCTATAAGAAAGCAAACACACACCACTAACCAGTCCCAGGGCCTCCTGCTGTAAACCAGTGAAACCACCAGTTCAAGCCACTAGTGGGCCAGTACACAGAAAACACCAAGTGAATGGTCCACACCACAGAGAGGTGTTCAGATCATACGCCTGGGTAATGATGAGGGTCTGAGAGGGAGAGAAACACAGAGGTGTGCTGTGATTTCAGAGGCATTGAGTTGTGATCTCATGCAAATAAAGAGTGTGTGTGTGTGTGTGTGTGTGTGTGTGTGTGTGTGTGTGTGTGTGAGAGAAAGAGAGAGAGAGAGAGAGAGAGAGAGAGAGAGAGAGAGAGAGAGAGAGAGAGAGAGAGAGAGAGAGAGGAGAGAGAGAGACAGACAATGGGATCATGCAAATGTGAGTCAAATGTTTGGCCCCAGGCAGGCACAGGGTAAGATTTAGGCGCGGCTGGGAGACATGCACTCGGCTGATGATCTGTAGCATTACACAAGCAGGGGAGGAACGGGAGGGAACACCGGGGCTTTATTAGCGTGTGTACCCCGGTAAAGGTGTAGAGAGTAATCCCTGCTGCTCCCCGACAGAGAAATAGACAGAAGAGAGGAGACTTACTTGTTAGAGATCTCTTCCACATGGACTGTAAACGGCTCTGTTTTCTCTTCTGTTCCCTCGTGTTCTGAGCGCTAAAACCGATCTTTGCGGCGGCGAAATCCAGAGTCCACCGAGCAGCTGCCGGGGAGAGAGCTACGGTGTGAGTGAGAGCAGAGAGAGGAGGGAAAGAGGGAGAGAGGGACGGTGTGAGTGAGAACAGAGAGAGCAGGGGGAGAGAGAGAGGAGGAGAGAGAGGGAGAGAGCGACGATGTGAGAGAGAGCAGAGAGAGGAGGAGAGAGGAGGGGGAGAGGAGTCTCTTCAGCACCACTCCGCTCTGATCAGCTCCCACTGACGTCACTGCCTGGCTACGACGCCACGCCCACTTCCCTACACACACATGATAAACTGTATGTTATACATGCTGCATATCTCTGCCACTTTAAATATTCCCACATGTTTTATTGTCAGAGTAAATGATCATATTTTGATTGTGCTTATTTGTGTATATTTATATTCTTATTTATATTCTATATTTGAATTGTATCATAGTTTTGAGACATGTTTTTGGCACAGCAGCATGTAAACAAGGCATTGCACAGGAATAGAACAATACATTAAAACGTTTTAAAAAAGTAATGAGGAGATTTTTCAGATTTAAAAAACACTACTGCATTAAGCAGCCCCAATACTGTAGATACATAATGCTTACAACTATAGTGCAGCTGCGCTGCTTCAAAACTGTTCTCTATTCAATTATTTCTAATATTAAACGTGTCTCAGGTCCAAACTGCTCCAATTGGGTCACCAGAAAGACCCCCAGAAAGTGAGAACAGTCCTCCAGATTCTACATGTTCTCTTGTGCAAATAAACCTCTCTCAAAGTGTACAATTCTTTGTGCACGCTATTTTCACAACATGTTTAACAAATGATCCTAATGCAAAGTGGTGGGGACATGTCCCCAGCGTCCCCAGGATAAATGAGAGAGACATTTTACACCAAAGCAAATTCCTCATACATGTAACCCTAATACACCTTATTCTGATCCTAATGAAGTTACATTAATACTGTGTTAATGTTCATATTACGGTTTGATGTCTTAATGGTTATGGAGATGGGAACACACCGAGGACATCTAATGGACAGGTGAGGAATAGCAGAGTCATACAAACACAAAGAGGGAATGTTAGAAGCTCCAGAAAGCCCCGAAGGACACAAGGAAGTGGAGCACACATTCAGAAGATTTCAGATTGATGGGATCAGGGAACATGATGGCAGAGAGTCTGATTTAACACTGAGTCAAATAGTGCAGTAAGGATTTACTGTACTCGTTATATGATTATGAATGTTACGGATCGACTTGTTTACCTGTTGCTTTGGACTTCATTCCTGGCCAAGCTACGGTACTGATCCAGTTTGATTTCAGCTGCATCACTTTACATATTGTATCTATACAAGGTCTGAACCAAAATGAGCAAAACGTGTCATTATTCTGCACTTGCTGGAGGACATAATAGAGTATAACACAATCAAACACACACTTCAACATCACTCTCAACAGAAACTGAACAGATTGACAAAAGTAGTCTATATCAGACGGCTGTGCTCATGATCTACACCTTAGAGATGTCAACTCAGTAGACTGCATCCTTGCATCATTATTCGAGCTGGCAGAACAACATCTGAAAGAAGTGAGGATTTACTTTTTGGAGAGGACAGAGGCCTTGAGCGTGTGATGTTTCAGCTGCCAGGCCTGCTGTGGACTTTGAAGACAGACAGGAAGAGAGCGGAGGCAGTGAGGGATTGTGGGGGCTGACATGGTGCTGGCTGGTGATCTGTGAGTCAGATTGTGTCCGAGGTGATGTTCCTGCAATGTGTGAGCAGCACCTGGCCTCAATGGATGGCTGAGTCCTTCACAACACAATCTATATTGTCAATAAAAAGCCTCACAAATCTGAATGAAGAAAATGCCATGTAAGTAAAGTGTTGGAACACAAACCATGTTCAAATGTATTCATGTGTGAGGTTATGGGGTATTGAAGGGTTGTGACATTTAATAATGAAGTGTTGTAATATAAAACAGATCAGGGAGCTCTTAAGATGACACTGCAGTTAGTGGGTGGGGGACATTATAGGGGTCTCTGTAATAAAACTCACAAAAACCTGCACTGTATGTACCTATTTGGACCTGGAATTGTATACTTACATGTATATTTTTAAAATATCCATAATTATTCAAATGGTATATATTTAAAAAAAAAATGTGTGAACTCTTCCCTGTACTATCCTGTGTTTCTATCTTGTTACTTTTGCTGCTCAAACAACCTGCATTTGAATAAATATACACATGGCTAGTTGCAGTTGCAAGTATAAGTGAAGGTCTGATATTCACCCAGCACAGGTTGTCTTTATTTTCAATGACATGGTTAGCCCCTCCTTATGAGCTTTGTCCAGCCTGTCATTGGCTGTTGTTGCTGTTCACTTCCTCCCCTCTGATGGTGATGGAGGCCCCTCCCTCTCCGCCTGTACTCCACTATCAGCTCCTGTATGTGTAACGAACACCAAGCACAGACAGGGCTTTTTATGGCTTTGACTGTGCTCTGAAATAAGGCTCAATGTAGCCCACTGAAGGGGCTCACACACCGGGGGGGATGCCATGCTTTAAACATGAGATAATAGAAAACATATCACATCTCTGGACAGAAACTGATTGGAAGTTGCCACAACGATGGTGTGTCTTTCTCTTGTCTTCTCTTTAACTTAAGTGAAAGGAGGAATACTAAATTGTAAAAAGTCCTGCAATCAAATCTTACTAAAGTACAATTACAAAAGTATTAACATCAAAGTATACTTCTGTCTGAAAAGTAGTACTTATTGCAAGTTGGGGTCTATTTCCGAATCATTTAATTGCTGGATTATAATTGTTGATGCATCTATCACAGCTGGTATGTTGATCTTGTTTTAGTTACTTTGTTGCTGTATATTCTTAACCTGTAATGATATGTCAATGATGATGTATTGGCTGCTGCATTAGCTCATTTAGTAAAGTAACATAGGCTTTCAAATACATCTCCTCCTCTGCCCCTGTGCATTCTAGGAGAGGATGTGGCTGTTGTGGAGGTCTACAAGTACCTGGGAGTGCACTTAGACAATGGGCTGAACTGGAGGATCAACACTGACGCTGTGTACAAGAAGGGGAGGAGCCGACTCTATTTTCTGAGGAAGCTGAGATCCTTCAACGTATGCAGCAAGATGCTGGAGATCTTCTATCAGTCTGTTGTGGCTAGTGCACTCTTCTTTGCTGCGGTCTGCTGTGGGGGCAGCATCAGAGCCGGTGACACCAGCAGGATCAATAAACTGATCAGGAAAGCTGGGTCAGTCATCGGCATCAAGCTGGACCCCTTTGAAGCTGTGGTGGAGAGGAGGACACTGAACAGGCTGTTGTCCATCATGGATAACCCCACCCATCCTCTCCACCTGCAGCTGGACAGTCAGCGGAGCTCCTTCTCCAACAGACTGCTGCAGCTCCCCTGTCACAAGGACAGATACTGGAAAACATTCCTGCCCACTGCAATAACACTGAACAATAAATCACCTCTGGCTGGAAGAGAACTCTCTGCTCCATAGTTTCTCTTGGAATAAAACCACGTTGTACATTTTACTCATACATAATCTGTTTCATATTTAATACTCCATATTCCATATATTTTGAATATATATATATATATATTTGTATATATATATATAATATCTGCATGTATATTTTCTATTTCCACATGTATATTTTATATTTTATTTTATTTTCTTTCTATTCTTGTATATTTTGTAGTTTTGTTTTATTGTAAAATGCCTTTTATGCTGCTGTAACAAAAACAATTTCCCAATTTGGGATCAATAAAGTACTATCTATCTATCTATCTATCATGTAGTGGATTAAAAAGTACAATATTTGCTTCCCAAATTCAGGATGACATGTTCATGCATTTCTTGTCTTTCCTTAGCACAATGCAACATCAAGCTATAACAGGATCTCTAGGAGAGTTCAGGAGCACTGTGGTGTTCAACTGTATGATGAAGCATTGCATTAAGATGCTTTGGTTACATTTGCTTGAATACAAAAAGTAATGATATGTTTTCCTACACTCTTTTCCCCATCTACTTAGCTTATTTGTGCAGCTGGTTGACATCAGAACATTAGGCAAATGTGACATTGTATTTCTTTGAGTGTAGCATTGACCTGCCAGAGTAGAGCAGTTATACAGCCACTAAAACAAAACTGGTTTTCACAAGAACTAAACAGGCAGACGTTAATGTTGCATGCTGGGTGTTTTAGCATCAAACTGTGTGTAGTGTGGACTTCCACGTTACTTGGGTGAGGGGCTCTGAAAACGTCCCACTGTGCAGCGCCATGACTCTACTGTTAGTTCTACTTGTGTTAGTTTTACATCAAACATCTGTCCACTCCTGCTCAGGGTGCAGGTACTTTCAGGAAGCTCTTCACCATCCAAAAGGGTCCACCTGGCTTGGAGTCAAACTGGTGTGTGTGTGTGTGTGTGTGTGTGTGTGTGTGTGTGTGTGTGTGTGTGTGTGTGTGTGTGTGCGTGTGCGTGTGCGTGTGCGCGTGTGCGTCTGTGTGTGTGTGTGTGTATGTGTGTGTGTGTGTGTGTGTGTGCGTGTGTGTGTGCGTGTGTGCGTGTGCGTCTGTGTGTGTGTGTATGTGTGTGTGCGTGTGCGCGTGTGCGTCTGTGTGTGTGTGTGTGTGTGTGTGTGTGTGTGTGTGTGTGTGTGTGTGCGTGTGGGTGTGCGTGTGCGCGTGTGCGTCTGTGTGTGCGTGTGCGTCTGTGTGTGCGTGTGCGTCTGTGTGTGCGTGTGTGCGTCTGTGTGTGTGTGTGTGTGTGTGTGTGTGCGTGTGTGTGCGTCTGTGTGTGCGTGTGTGTGTGTGTGCGTGTGCGTCTGTGTGTGTGTGTATGTGTGTGTGTGTGTGTGTGTGTGTGCGTGTGTGTGTGTGTGCGTGTGTGTGTGCGTGTGTGCGTGTGCGTCTGTGTGTGCGTGTGCGTCTGTGTGTGTGCGTCTGTGTGTGTGCGTGTGTGTGTGCGTCTGTGTGTGTGTGTGTGTGCGTGTGCGTGTGTGCGTCTGTGTGTGTGTGTGTGTGTGTGTGTGTGTGTGTGTGTGTGTGTGTGTTTTAGTGTGTGGGTGGTGAGGGGAAAGTGAGT